TTATCTACGTGAAAATTATTTTACAAAATCAATTTCTGAGTGATCTGTGTAGGGTGAGATTTGTTATGTAATTTTAAATTTAGCGGCGGCAGAATACCTAAAACAAATATTGAGTAGGTAGGTATATAGTTGTAGAGCGTACAACTAGATGGCGCTTGCATCTTTTACCGGCTACAGGTAATTTAACTCACTGTATTACCGATAATTCCTAGAAAAGGAAAGCAATAGAAGTTGGAGAAAGTGTCGACAGTTAGCGCTGTTAATGACCACGAAATCTGTTCAAGTTTCCTATCTATAGTATCATTTATCTAGGGTAGTGTGCAAAAGTGTTTAAAGCATATGCCATAAAATAAATATATTCAGGTAAAAACTGCTTTTTATATCTTGTAAATTTTACCAAATTAAAAATTTAAGTATATCAATAATTGCTTGCCAATGATATGTAACAATTACAGTAGTGTACAACAGACGTTGATAATGTATATGTACCACATGGGTTAAATATTGTAGTGATATTTTAATAATTCTTTTAAGTATTATAATATAGTTCCACAATTTTTAGGTGTATATATATCGTTTTTATTATTATTGCGATTTTGATGTATTTTATATTGAAATATAAGGAAAGTGAGGTTACGTATGTTATTAATTTTTTAGGTGGATTAAGTAAACATGAGTCGTTTCTTTGCTGGTTCAGACTCCGAATCGGATAGCTCGTCCGAGGAGGAGCAGATCCCGCGCCCCCAAGTTCCCGTCTATACGGTAAGAATTATTTTTGCTTAAAATGATGCATTATTCTGCAATGCTTGCAATGCTATCTTGAATAACTACTATTTTCTTGTTACAGTTCAGTGATGACGAGGAAGAAGTTAAACGAGTTGTCCGATCTGCAAAGGTCAAACGTTATGAGGAACTCACAAACATCATCAAACAGATTCGGAATTTTAAGAAAATCAAGGATATGTCCAGCATGTTGAACAGTAAGTTTTCAAAATATATTAATTTGACATTATTCTACCCATATGTGCATACTTTAGGCTTTGAAGAGTTGCAAAAAGCCTACGTCAAAGCCGCTCCTGTAGTACTGAAAGAGGAAAACGGTCAGACCCCCAGATTTTTCGTGAGATGTTTGGCAGAAATGGAGGATTTCATCAACGAAATGTGGGAGGACAGAGATGGAAGGAAAAACCTGAGCAAGAACAATAGGTGAGTGTAAAAGTAGTGATATTTGCGGATGTTTGATTAAATCTTTGTTTCCAGTAAATCTCTTGGTTCTATGAGACAAAAACTCAGGAAGTACCTCAAAGAATTCGAGGAAGATATTGCGAAATTCAGGGAAAATCCAGAACAGCCTGACGATGAAGAGGAAGAGGAAAAACGTAAGTTCAGAATAGCATAAAATAATGTATAAACTAAAGATTTTACTCTACAGAGGAACCTGAAGTCGATTCTGATACCGAGCTGCCAACAAAGTCCCAGTTTACGAAGGCGCCGCCTAAGCAGATCATCGAAGCCAAAGATGAGTCTTCCGATTCTGACGACTGGCCGTCGGACTCCGATTCTAGTTCCGAATCTTCCGATGATGAAAACATTTACACGAGTATGAGGGAGAAGTTCTTGAAAAGACCTGGAGCCATTCACGAGGATGACGAAGAAAAGGAACGCAGGAAGGAGGAGAGAAGGAAGGACCGTAAAGAGAAAGAACGAAGGAAGAAGCAGAAAGATGAGGAGGAGGACGGCGAAGGGGAGTGGGAGACTGTGCAACGCGGGGTCGCTATTCCAAGTGTAAGTAATATAATATTAAAAATTAGCTGTTTAATTTTTTTGAAAATGTACAAATACAATTGTTACAAAAATTTACTAGACAATTAGAGCCGTATAAATTATTTGAGGCTTTAGAATTTTTATGAGTTATTTTTATTTAAGAGTAATAATAACCTTAAATTTTTTTATCATAGTTTCCAAAAACTGTATATTGTTTTGTAAAACATTACAGCAATAAGTTTCAGCAAAAAATTTTTTTCTGGTTTGAAAACATCTTGTGTAATTTTTTAGAATCAATTTTTTTAGCTAGGCAGCTTGCCCTAATTTTATTCTCAAAAAATGAGGAAGTAAAAAGACTAAAAGTTGTGAGACTTTGCCGTATAAAACCGTTTTGAAATTTTAACCATTTCTGAGGTGACGTTCAAACAGTTTGTGGTTGTTGAGAATCATAATAGCACCTAAAATATTAAATTTAAACTACTCGATTTATTAATGTTAAAAATATAAATGAAAAAGGTTGTGCCTCTTCTTAAATTTTTTCAAAATAAAATTAGGACACTGTGTGTTAATTTTTGAAACGATTACAGGAAATTACTTATGCAAATTCCTTTGAAATAAAATTATTACCGTTTTTTGAAAGCCAATTTTTATAACAGTTAACCACAGCTAATTACACTTTTTTTTGTCCAGACATCAGGAAAAAATCAGAGAAACTGAAAAAAACATCCTTATAGTAGTCTTTAACGTCATTTTTGTTTTATTTTGCCTTAAATATTACTTTGATTGTAGGAAAAACCCAAAATGTTTGCAAAGGATGCCGAAATCGACTTGAACCTCGTCATAAAAAAACTGAGTGAGATCATGGCCGCTAGGGGCAAAAAACGCACTGACCGTCGCGAGCAAATCGAACTACTGCACGAGTTACAGAACGTGTCAGATCAACACCAGCTGGGCCCTGCAATTTACGTCAAAATCAAACTCGCTATTATCTCTGCCGTATTCGACTACAACCCTAAGGTCTCTGATGCCATGAAACCGGAATACTGGCTGAAATTACTAGAGCGAATGTCCGAATGCTTAGATCTTCTTCTGAGCAACCCGCAGTTGGTTGTTTCCGATTCGATCACCGAGGAAACGGAGAACCTAGAGGAAGCCCCTTACCGAATCAGGGGCTGCGTGTTAACATCGGTTGAACGTCTGGATGACGAGTTTACGAAACTATTAAAAGAGTGCGACCCGCACAGCAACGAGTACGTCGAACGGCTCAAGGACGAGGCGAAGGTATCCAGCATCATCGACAGGACGATGAAATACCTGGAACGCTCTAACGTCCCGTCTGAACTCTGCAGGATTTACCTCAGGAAGATCGAACATCTGTACTACAAGTTCGATCCTAGGGTGTTGCAACAAAAAGCCGGTGATCCCTCAGTACCGAAGGATGTCGTTACGTCCGTGCAGGAGATGGAGAAGCTCTGCAAGTACATCTACGCCAAGGATAGCACCGACAGGCTCCGTACTAGGGCCATCTTGTCGCACATCTACCACCACGCGTTGCACGACAACTGGTTCCAGGCTAGGGATCTGGTGCTCATGTCGCACTTGCAGGAGACCATCCAGCATTCCGATCCCAGCACCCAGATCTTGTATAACCGTACCATGGCTCACCTGGGGCTCTGCGCTTTCCGTCATGCTAATATCAAGGACGCGCACAGCTGTTTGGTGGATCTGATGATGACGGGAAAACCGAAGGAGCTGTTGGCACAAGGTAAAAATTTTTTTTTGTAAAGGGCAAAAACTTAATTTTTTTTTATACAACTGTAAATAAGCCAGTTACTTTTTAGATAGAATCATAGGTGTAACATGGGGTTACTTTTATAAATTTACGTATTAACTTAAAACTACTTTTAAATTTATTCTCAATCGTCGTAGAATGAAGTTGTAACTAGTTTACTCAATTTAGACCGATCGAACTTACTCATTTAGAGGGAAAAAAAAATTGTTTTATAAGTGGAAATGGTAAAGGGGGCTTATAATAAACGAAAAAAAAAATAAATGCTGGAACAGGGGTGGCGGAGGGTTAATTTGGAGGGTTGAAAAGTTGTGAAAAATTGTATTATTGGGATTTTTGGCGACAGTTGACATCAAACAAAAAAGTATCCAATACAAAAGTTGTAGATCATGCAAAAATCTACAACTTTTGTAGAGGTCACTTTTTAAGATAACCTCAAAATTTCCGAGAAAAATGCGAAAAACAGATTTTTTCTAATTTTTCGTTTTTTATTTCTCCTTTCCGCAAAAATAATTTAATTTTGACGCAACTTGGTGAAAGTATACCTTTCTGTGTCTTAAATAACCGCAAATTTTATTAGATACTTTTTTTTCAAAGAAAAATTCCAGTTGGGAAAGTCATCAAACAGAGTTCTGCCGGTGATAATTTTTTCCGTTTTGACATACAGGGTGATTCAGTCATAATGTCATTAATTTTAAGAGCAGATAGAGAAAAATGAGTATAATACGATGGCGTGATTAAAAAAAAATTTAAATGCATATTTAAGCTGAAAAAAAATATTTTCAAATCATTATTTAACCCCCTTTTCAGGCTGTTACTGACCGGCTGACGTCACAATATTATGCACGGCTACGATATGAACCTATGAACAACGCGCCCTAGATGCAACGTTGCCATATTTATATATTTTCGCTCATATAAAGACAATAAATAAACGGTTTTGCTCACGTCAGCCAATAATAATTTAAAATGCTATAAATTATTTTTTATTTATGCAATCAACATATTAAATTGTTATTGTTGCCCAGCAAGAACCTCGAGGTCTGAGCATGCCTTGCCAAAAATCAGTTTTTATTAGCATCATAATTTTAATATTTTAACAACATTTGCTGTAAGCCCGAAGGGGAAGGTTTTCAAACAATTCTACTAAAAATTAGTAACGCGGCCCATTCAGATGTTCAGGTAGAAAATGCGGCCCAATTAAACGATCGCCATTGACATTGACACCGAATCTCCTCTGAAAGCTATACCACCGACGAGTAGTGTGCGGGTAGTAGTGTGTTTCATCTGACCAAATGTGACTATTATGGCTGCAAAGAAATTAGCTGTTTCACTTTAAATAAGATTTAATATTGAAGTTACAAAACCCCAAAAGTTCAAATAATTTAAATTTCATTTCATAACCATTTCAATTTCGTTACAGAAATAATGTCATAAAAAACCAACACTCACTAGATAAATTATAAAGAGAGGATAAATTGTATGCAGTATTTAAATATTGACTGCAATTAGAAGAGAGACTTGTATATTCCATAAAAAAACAATGGGACGGAGACAAATAAACAACTCGGTACGTCGTGTTTCCGACCTAGGGTAACCTGTGGTTCAGTAACCTTTTAACCCAGTTTTAATTTGCACACGTGCACCATATAGTCCAGGAGCCCGATGTGCAAACAACTTATTCTTAAATATTTGACCTCTTGAATCCAAAGAAACTTGGTCGCAAAGCCTGAAAGTGGTCAGTTTAATTGTTATCAACAAATTAAATGTTTAAATGGCTGTAAAAAGTTTATTTTTATAGCTAGTACAATTTATTCGCTAATAGTTACGTTTTCTCATAACAAATATGTATTTTTTTGGAAATTAAAAAAAATTAACTTTAACCAAAGTTATTGCAAATTTAGTGCAAATTTCTTACATTTTCCGTCTCCGTGCGCACTAATTTTACCATATCTGGTTCTAAGTTCCATTTATTTATTAATTTATTTAATAATTAATGGCATCTTAGAAAGTTGTGAAATTTCAACGAAAATGCCGGTTTTAATTGTTTATAAGGTTTTTTTTATTATTCAACTTCGACGAAAAGCCAAAAAAGTTACCGGATATTGTTCTTTGCATTCTAACAATCAAGCAAGGCATGAAATCATTGTTAGGATGCGAGGAACAATAACCGGTAACTTTTTTGGCTTTTCATAAAAATTGAATAACAAAAAAAGTTTTATAAACCAATAAAGCCAACATTTTCGTTGAAATTCCACAACTTTCTAAGCTGCCATTAATTTTTAAATAAATTAATTAATCAATGGAACTTACCTATCTTGTAAAATAAAGTTTAAGTTTTAAAATGAGATGTGCGTCTCAATCCGTCCAATTGAACCAGAGATATGGTAAAATTGGTGCGCGCAGAGACGGAAAATGTAATATATTTGCACTAAATTTGCAATAACTTTGGTTAAAGTTAATCTTTTTTTAATTTTCAAAAAAATATATGTTTGTTGTGAGAAAACGTAATAATTAACAGATAAAAAATTGTACTAGCTATAAAAATAAACTTTTTACAGCCATTTAAACATTCAATTTGTTAACAACAATTAAACTGACCACTTTCAGGCTTTGCCACCAAGTTTTTTGGTTTCGAGAAGTCAAAATACTTAAAAATAAGTTATTTGCAGCCGTGGAATTCTGTTTGGCTACGGAAACCTATCTGGCCCCTAGCCCCTAGACTAATACGAGTGTAGTAGCAAAAAGTTGTCGGTCTTTTATCAAAGGAAAATCGTATCAACAAATTTAATTTAAAATCTAAAATACCGGCTATGTTTTCGTAGTAGCTGTAGTCGCCCAGGTGCATCGAGTGTACGAAGTGGTCGGTTATATGTCAAATACTAACCTGGCGAGCTTGAACCTGAACTTGGCAACGCTGTTCCTTTAGCCGACAACTGTTCGTGACATTACGTTACAAAATTTTCCGAGCATCCGGGCATCGGCAGGGCAGCCCTCGTAGCGGGAGTTATGGGTTGATTTCCTTCATTTTTAAAAGTCGAGTAAAAAATTTTTTTTTCCGATTTTCTGTCTTTATTAAGCCTTCTGAATACGTGGTTAAAATTAATGACATTATGACTGAATCACCCTGTATACTTTTTGGTGAAATAAAAAAATCTATTCACAGTTCAAAAATATACTCAAAAATGTAAAAAAATAAAAAATGGCGCATCAATGAATTTTTCAGTAATTGTTGATAATTTGTTTAAACTAAAAAAAAAATCAAAAACTGATTACACCATTCAATTCTACGAAAAAAATACAAAAAAAACTGTCTCATTGTTTGACCCAAAACTTTAATTTTGTACAGTATTGCTATAAACGTAAGTCGAATAGTGAAAAAATAAAATAAACAATAATTTTTTCTGTAGAATCGATTAGTGTACTTATTTTTTTTTAATTTTGATGAATTCATAGATATACAGTGTGTCCAAGATAAGGTGTCCAAGATCATTAGGATCTAGGAAGCGGTAAGAGATACAGGGTGGCTCAGATTAGAAAAAGGTGTGTTTTAAAAAAACCCATAATTTTGTAAAATTGTTTAATTTTTTTCTGGCTTTATTTGAAACCGAATTTTAAAATAAATTGCATATTTACAATGCCACTTTTTTTGCTCTATCCAATGGCATCAACATTTTGGCAATCCGACGTTACTGAAAAATTCATTGTTGCAAGTAATTTGTTATTTTTTTTGCATTTTTGAGCACTTTGGAAATTTTCTGATATCTATATTTTTTTTTTGGCATTCGGTGTACTTTTTAACATGAAATTTATTGACCATAACATCAAAGGTTTAATTTTATTAATTTTATGTTTGAAATATGCCAGTAATACCGCTTCAGACACTTTTTGAATTTTTTTCGAACTACTCCACCCTTTGAATTCGTTGTAGGCAATCTCGTACTGTCTCGACGATTTTTTAAGGATTAATTGTGAAACAGCACTTTGTGCCGCTTCCAATATTTCCCCTGGTAAATGCTTGTCTTCACTTTCCGAGCTCATTTTGAATTGAACACTCTTAGAATACAAATAACAATATACAATATAGACTCTTTAATCCGAACTCACCTTAATCCGAATATCCACTAATCTGGCCCAATGAATGCGTTTCGATGGTCCGAACAAAACTTACATTAATATGTTGCCACTTTTTGTATGTAAAAAGCAAATATTTAAAGATATTTTTTCGTATAATGTTTATAGTTTGTTTTGCTTTACAATTTTTATTGTATAATTTTATTTTATTATATCTGTTTTCTTTAGTATTTGCAACCACGGATTGAATTTATAACTAATATACTGTGGGAAACAACTACCTTACAGGCTACAGCCTCACCCAGTAGATACAAAGTAATGCTTTGTACTGGTAGGCATCGAACAACAGTAGGAATTATTGTCATACTTTGTAGGTTATTTTTCACCCACACTCGTTAATTGTTTGCAATATTAAACAAAAAAACTAGGCCTTGGTTTATAAATAACTAAATCCCTGTAAATTTTCAGGTCTCTTGCCTCAACGTCAGCACGAACGAAGCAAGGAACAGGAAAAGATAGAAAAACAACGCCAAATGCCCTTCCACATGCATATAAACTTGGAATTGCTCGAATGCGTTTACCTCGTATCAGCCATGCTCATCGAGATCCCTTACATGGCGGCGCACGAATTTGACGCTAGACGCAGGATGATTTCCAAAACATTCTACCAACAACTCCGCAGTTCCGAACGTCAGAGTCTCGTTGGCCCTCCAGAGAGCATGCGCGAGCATGTAGTTGCCGCGGCCAAAGCCATGAGGAATGGGAACTGGTCCGCGTGCAACAATTTCATCATTAACGAGAAGATGAACGCTAAAGTTTGGGATCTCTTCTACCAAGCCGACCAGGTCAGGGCCATGCTGACGAAATTGATCAAGGAGGAGTCGTTGCGGACGTATTTGTTCACTTATTCGCACGTCTACGATTCTATCTCTATGGCAACACTGTCGGAAATGTTTCAGTTGGAAAAGCCCGTCGTACATTCCACCATATCCAAGATGATCATCAACGAGGAGCTTATGGTAATTTTTTTAATATTCCAAGCCAAGTAAAAAAATTATTATTTCGTTGTATATTTTAGGCGTCATTGGACGATCCCACACAAACGGTCGTGATGCACAGGAGCGAACCCTCCCGTTTACAGTCTTTGGCTCTGCAGTTGGCCGATAAAATCAACAATTTTGTGGATTCGAACGAAAGGATTTTGGAGACGAAGCAAGGCAATTTCTTCTTAAGAAACGCCAACCAGGTAGCATTTGCGTTGATTCCCGTAACGTTCGACGGAGAATAATTGCAATTGTTTTATTTTCAGGGCAATTTCAGAGGAGACAGACAGAACTATCGCGGCGCTACTAACCAGAATTGGGACAGACAACGTAGGGAAAGGAACAGGGACAAGGACAACTATTAGTTTTATATTCATTCTTAACTATTTTAGGAAAATTAAACACTTTTTGTAGTTGTGAGAAAATTTAAAAGTATTTCTTTGGAATTTACGTATTTAACATACTTTTATTTTGCATTGTAATCGGTGATTAATAAATTAGTGTCCCAGAAAATCAAATTTTTTATCTTATATTGCACATACAAGGTGGCCAAATCAAAACGAAACAGAGCCATTTTCAGAAACTGTCAAGATTGTAGAAAAACGCTCAGACCCGTCAATTTTAGATTAAAGGGGGACATTCTTTGCTGGTATTTTTGACTCCGCCACTTTCACCCCCAAGCAAGGGTAAGCATCACCCCAAAATATTTAAATGGCATTGGGGGTTGAGTAATATTTCTTTTGAAAGCTCTTACAATTCTCTTTACAACAGACTTTAAATTTTATAATTCCGCCCAATACTTTGAAAAAAATTTACATTTTAAAATTTAAATTATGTTTAGTTGCTTACTTACTACTTAGTTGATTAAATGTTCAAACTGATGACCGCCCGCTTCCATACAAGAATAAAGATTTTGTTCGAAACGTTCGCGCACATTCCGAAGCATTTCCGGAGTGATTCGACGGCATTCGTCGACGATTCTTTGACGCAAATCTTCCAGCGACGCTGGCTGTGTTTTATAGATTTTACTTTTTAGGTATCCCCACAAAAAGAAATCAAGGGGCGATAAATCCGGTGATCGTGGAGGCCACTCAATGCTGCCTCTTCTCCCAATCCAATTCCGTAGAAAACGTTGGTCCAAATACTGACGGACAATTAACGCATAATGCGGAGGAGCACCGTCCTGTTGAAAAATCAAATGATCTTCATCATACTCTGGAACATTTTCAATAATATCAGTCAAGGCAGGGTCAATAGCGTCTTCCAGTAATTGCAAATACATTTGGCCAGTCAAATTACCAGGTAGAAAAAAAGGACCCACCAGCCGGTCACCGAAAATTCCAGCCCATACATTTAATTTTTCCGGTTGCTGTGTATGCACCTCGTGAAAAACTCTTGGGTTTGAATCGGACCAATAGCGGCAATTGTGACGATTTACCGTCCCGTTCAAGAAAAAACTGCATTCATCAGAAAAACAGATGTTAAAAAGGAACTGTGGATCGTTCCCTGCTCGCTCACTCATTATTTCGCAAAATTGCAAACGGCGGTCATAATCATCCTCATGAAGTTCCTGGACTAAATGTATTTTGTATGGATGGAATTTATTCTTCTTCAAAATGGTTTGTATGCTAGTTCGATTGATCCCAGACACAGATGCCAGCTGCCTCGTACTTAATGTAGGATCAAGATGAACTTGTCCCAAAACTGCAACTTCACTAGCTTCATTAACTATAGGTTTTTCAATTTCTCGTTTTTTATTGGCTACGTTCCCTGTCTCTTGAAATTTTTTTACTAACTCTAGAACATACTTCCTCCTGACATGTCGATCTTGATGTTGTTCATTAAATAGCTGAGCTGTTCTATTCGCACATTTATTGTTCATAAAGTAAAGCGAAATGATATCTACCCTTTCCGCAATGGAATAAACCATAGTGTTTAATTTTCAAAAACACAATTAAATAAACTACCAACCAACGCTTCCAAAAAATACTAGAAAATAATTTGGAATCCACTAATTTTACGTTCATTGTGTGTATAGCATTCATTTCTGTTTTTTACAATTGTGTTTTTTTTTACGTAAGTGATAACAAATCGCCAAAAACCAATGTAACGCAAGAAATACTAAATTTATACCATTAGCCTAATTAACTCGAATGACTGACATTCTTACTGTTACTAATTATTGTTTGTACATAAGTTTCAACTTTAAAATGAAAATTCTTAATAAGTATTGTGCGGAATTATAAAATTTAAAGTCTGTTGTAAGAGCTTTCAAAAGAAATATTATTCAACCCCCAATGCCATTTAAATATTTTGGGGTGATGCTTACCTTTGCTTGGGGGTGAAAGTGGCGGAGTCAAAAATACCAGCAAAGAATGTCCCCCTTTAATCTAAAATCGATGGGTCTGAGCGTTTTTCTGCAACCTTGACGCAGTTCCTGAAAACGGCTCTGTTTCGTTTTCATTTGACCACCCTGTATAATAGATGGGAAATAATAATTTTACTTGTACTTATTAAATTTTTTGCTGGATAGGTAGACAACATATCAGCTTCCTGTATTTTTAGAATTATCAAAAATTTAATGGTAGTTAACCAGCGATTCATTGCCTTGTATATTTGGTTGTCTACCAAATTGACAAGTAATGCAGTTTCCTAATTTATCTTTGATCTTTAGACATCTGTTAAAATGTCGGAAAGGGGTGAAAAAAAGCAACCGGAAAATATTAACGAGATAGATGGAAATAACGAAGGTGCACCGACAACAAAAAGGTACGAAAATTAAATAATTACAGCACTAAATAACTTGTCTTATAAATACCTAATAAATCCTACGAACAACTCGTTTTTTAAAATGGCTTCGGTTTCTTCACAAATTATGACAAAATCGATACTATACATTGTATTTAACTGCCGCAGTCTTATTTATAATAATGCTGCGTTTATTTTTACCACAAACAAGCAACGAGGATAACCTAGAAATGCCTAGTCATATTTCAAACCTAACCTCATTTCCAGTTCGAAGAAACGGAACAAACACAAAAAGAAACACCATGAGAATAAGGAAGAGAATAACACTGAAGTCACTCAAGACGAAAGCAATCTCTTGTCGAATCTATCCACACCTATTAGTACAATATCTATCAAAGACTTGAAGGCCGCGATGGAGGTCTTTTCTCTGTCGCAGAAGCCAGCTAAAACCCCAGAGGAGGCCCTAAAGAAGTCCTACCAGTTCTGGAACACACAACCTGTGCCTCGAATGGGTAAGTCATACTTTACTTGAAACGTGCACTCGTTCAATACCGTTTTGTAGATGAAAAGATAACGGTGAACGAAGCCATCGAACCGGATAAAGAAATCTCGGAAATTAGAGCGGAACCTTACAGTTTACCTGACGGTTTCGTGTGGGATACCCTTAACTTAGACGAACCTCTAGTCCTTAAAGAGTTGTACACTCTTCTTAATGAGAATTATGTTGAAGATGACGACTGTATGTTTAGATTCGATTACCAGCCAGAGTTCTTGAAATGGTAAGTTCGTATGGAACACCAAAGAGTCAGGGTGCAATGTGTGGTATTTCAGGGCCCTCCAGCCTCCTGGTTGGAAGAAGGAGTGGCACTGCGGAGTAAGAGTAGTGAAGAGCAGAAGGTTAGTGGGATTTATATCTGCCATACCAGCAACCCTTAATATTTATAAAAAGTGAGTATATGACATCATATCATGGCATAGGTACTAGTATTTTTGGTGCTTACAACAATTTTCGTTATTTTTAGGAAACAACGTATGGTAGAGATAAACTTTCTGTGTGTCCATAAGAAGTTGCGCTCGAAACGGGTAGCACCGGTCCTCATCCGAGAGATAACGCGACGGGTGCACCTCAACGGCCTATTTCAAGCCGTCTATACGGCGGGTATAGTGTTGCCAAAGCCCGTCAGTACGTGCACGTACTGGCACAGGTCTTTGAACCCCAAGAAGCTGATAGAAGTGAAGTTCTCCCACCTGTCCCGTAATATGACCATGCAGAGGACTCTGAAGTTGTACAAGTTACCCGACAAACCAAAAACGCCCGGGTTTAGGAAAATGACTGTCGCCGATATCCCGTTGGCCCACAAGCTGCTAGTAGAGGTGAGTAACTTGGAAGAATTACTTATAAATGTTTAACAGAATGTTTTTTACAGGCGTTTTTTTGTTTAAATTGCAAATTTATATTAATGTTTCTGTTCATAACTTCTGAAAAATGCACAGAATAAAAGCTAAAAGTGGGTCGTATCTAACGTGATACTAATGGACTTTGTAACTTTAAAACCGTGCGCATCAGAATGTTCCTAAAAATGACCCTTGAATTTGACCAACTTTTGAGTTTTATGTTTTGTGACGTACCATTCGACTAATTGAATTTTCGACAAGTGTTTCATGTGTCACTATCGTAACTTACCTTTTTCCGGTTTTGGTCCGTTTTAATTTCTGGCGCCAATTCTTTATTTGTGTGGGAAAGATACCACAGGGTTTTATTCGGAAAAGAAAAATGGTTGGATAGTTACAATGAAGAAGGTATTAATTCAGTGGTCCGTTAATTACTGATCTAAGTGAATAAAAGACTACAAGTGTTAATAAAACTATATTTATTAAATCTCTAAGATATATTCAAATCTTTACAGTCTAAACTATATACTGTGCTATATGTACCTATTTACAAAGTTAGATGCAATAGCTGGGCAAGCGATGCGGTTTTAAAGCAAGTTGATAAGAAAACAACTAAAAAGCAATGAAAAAAGCTTGAGCGGTAGAAATATGGTAAAATATATCAACAATATTACAATATTTACATGCTATTTCTGTGAAAGAATGGATTTTTAACTTTAAAGAATAACAGACCTAGAATTGAAATAAAACTGTTTATAAAATTCTTGAAATTTCCGAAAAGTAGCTCTAACTGCATTTGAATTTAAACCAAATTTTAGTGGACACTCTAAAACTTAAAGAGTACTCTTTTAGAGACAATCTGAGGCCTTGTTCATCAAAATTACATTGAACCTATGAAGCGTTACATAATTTATAACTGGAAAAATTTCACCCGAGTAAAATAAAAAGATAGCATGCTTTGTAGAATTGCTCATATTTCTTTGTACATTTCGTGCACAGTTAAACTCTAAAAATAAAATACTAACTTCAAGAAGGGCAACAAATTGCTTATATTGCTTATAGTTTCATACAGATTTCAGGCAGATTTAGGCTAATTCACCTATATCCAAAATCGCTTTGTTTGGCCGCTAGATGGCCTCAAAGTTCGTTCCTCAAATTTTTTGAATTTTGTAAATAACTCAAATACGTATTATTCGATTTTGATTATTTTTGGGGTGTGGACTTTTGCTCTCAATCTACACATTTTGGTGTTATACAGAGTGTTTTTTTAAACTTACAACTCCTACAAAATTGATGTATGGTGTTAATATCCGTTCATAACTT